AAAATAATTGAAAAATTGTTTTCCCAAATTTTGAAGGAAAACACCTTTGAAAGAAGAATTCTCAATTTTATTCATACGTAAAGGCATAATAAAACATTTGCAGATATGCAGAAATTCATAAAGTTTTATTCATAAACCACCAGATAGACAAGTATAAGAGTTGAGGATGACTGCAAGGTTTTGAACAGAGCAACTGGAAGTAAAGAATGGCCATTAACTAAAATGGGGAAAACTAAAACAGAAATGGATATTTTTTTTAGATGATCAGGAACTCAGTTGTATATACGTTAAGTATTATATTCCTATTAGAAATCTAAATGGAGATATTGAGTTGACAGGTCAGTGTTCAGATCTGGATTTCAGATGAGGTTCTGGTACAGACGTACAAATTTGGAAGTCGTCAGCATATAGTATGTTATCTATACTAATAAAATCATGAGACTAGATAAGATCACGAGAGAGGGTAAATGGAAAAGATGAGAGATTGTCTAAGGATGAGCATGCCAACATTTATAGGGAAAAAAAATCCGGATTATGGAAGTCTAAGACAACCTCCTTTTAGGTCTCCAAGTTAAATCTTTAGCTGAGGCAGTCCTTGTTATTAGGGGATTGTTTGGTTTCTTTTTGACTTAGTGTAACCACATGTCCTAGAACCTCTCCTTGGTCTCCTGGCTGCCAAACCTTGCTCGTTCCCGTCTCATGGCTGGAGTGGGTCATGGAGGGCCCAGGCAGGTAATAGAGGGTCTTGGGTCTGAGATCTGGCTTAGCCTTGCCAGAGAATATGCTGAGCACAGGATTAATATTTATGAAGTTGCGCATCTCAGTCAGGGTCCAATAAATCTTCAGTCTCTGGAGGCCAACCCCCATGATTGTATTAACACAGAGGAAAGCCACAAGTGTTGCTAGAGGCCTGGGGAGGACCCTGAAGCTACAATTTACACATCACCCCAACTTTGCAGGGAGAGGGCCTGCAGAGATCACTCTGTGAGGTGGCATATTGAGATGATTTGAATTAACTTGTAGATGTAGGTAGAGTGCTAGTCGAATCAAGCCCCTAATTTTGGTCTACAAGATGAAACCTGCCTGTTTGCAGAAAGGGCCTCTGCTTTACTAGCTTTGAAAAGCAAAAACAGGTATTAAAAACCAAGAGAATTTAGTGTGTATTTGGTCCTAGCTGCTAAGCATAGGCACACGCTACTTGATCATTTCTTAGACTGCCTTTGTATGCCTTTTTGGTGCAAAATACCTGGTGAAAGCAGCAGATGAGGGAACATAGGTGTTGCAGTGACGTAGCATTATATAATATTGACTCACATGGAAAACAGGACTAGACAGTGAAGTGAGAACTTCAACAGAAGTATTATTATTTTTAACTCAGAAATAATAAAAAATGTCATATCCATGAAATGAGTAGAATTGTATAAAAAAAGAATATTCAGTGAATGGTAACCATTGTTATTGAAATATAATAGAAATAAGGAAAGTTTTGGAAGATAAGGTTGAGAAGATCTCTTAGAAAGTAGCACAAAAAGCAAAAGAGATGGAATATTTGAGAAAAGAGAAGTTTATTTGAGGATCAGTCAAGGAGGTCAAATACCAATTAATTAAGTACTCTAGAAAGAAACATTACAGTGAAACAGAGGGGAAGTAATCATCCAAAATATGATTGAAGAATATTTCCCAGAACCAAAGAACACATTTCCAGATTGAAAGGGCCTATCAAGTGTCTTGCAGAAACTTTTTTATTTTGAAATATCAGAATACCAAAGACAAAAAAGTTCTACAAGCTTCCAGCGAGGAATACAGTGGGTAGGTCACATGTAAAAGATCAGGAATCAAAATCACTTTTGACTTCTCAACAGCAAGACTTGAAGCTAGAAGACACTTCTGAAGGAAATTAATTTTCAACCTAGGATTCCATATCTGCTCAACTGTTAAATGTGAAGGTACACTAAAAGACATTTCAGACATGAGAGGGCTCAAAAAATTTTTACCTTCCGTACATTCTCTCTCAGGAATCTAATGGAAGATGTACCCTACCAACATAATGAAATAAGGAAGATAGAAGAATACATGGGATAAAGGAGACAGGTGATCCAACATAGGAGAGAAGCAACAGGAGTCCTGGGATGATGGGGAAGGATGACAGCCGTGCCCCTGATAAAGAGGGCAACCAATCCAAAATGCGACACCTCGGAAAGCTCCAATGGAGATTTCTGTAAAAAGATAAAATTGAAAGAATACTTGGTGTTTCAAAAGAGAAATGTCTTGTGAGGCCACTTGAACAGTTGGAAGAGATTCGATGGTTGAATTAATAATAAACACATAGAGATAATTTCAGATAAGACACAGTTATTAACTCTAGAGGAAACAAAAAGTTGTACAGAAAAGAAAAAGCAGTCATATTATGCTACAGTGGCTCACATGTGAGGTAGGAGTCTAGATTTATTTTTTCTGAACATATTCTGTTGTTGTGGCATCATTTGTAGAAAAGACTATCCCTTCACTATGTATTGATTTAGGAATCTTTCTTGAAAAATCAGTTGCCCATGAATGTGTAAATATATTTCTAGAGTCTGCATTTTGTCCATTGATGATTATGTCCTTATGCTAAATACTAAACTGTGTAGATTACTGTAAGTTTGAAATCTGGTATGACAAGTTTTTTTTTTTTTTAACTTTTTTACCCTTTTTAGAATTTATATTGGGTATTCTAAGTCCTTAGCATTTGCAAATAAATTTTTGAATCAATTCGTCAGTTTCTACAAAA